TGGGATGGCGCCTCCTCCGCCTTCGCCCCAGCTGCTCCTCCTGGCAGCCCTGGCGGGGCTCCTGCGTCCCATGGAGGTAAGGCGACCCGCCCCTGAGAAGGCTCAGAGCTCTTCGCCGAAAGTTCGCCCTGGAAGGAGGAGCGCGCGGAGAGAGGACTAGGAGTCCTCCCCTGGCGGCAGGGCCTGGGTTGGGAGAGGGCAGGGCCCCCGCTGAGGCCAGCGCCCCAGCTCTTCTGCGCCTTGGACCCACAGGTGATGGCTGAGCCGGCCGAGGAGGCGGGAGCCCGTTGTCCGGGGGGCCTGTGGCCTCTGCCCCAACAGGTAGGAGCCTGGAGGGCGACGTGAGGGCGGGTGTGAAGGGGTAGCCCAGTCCCGCTCTGGCCCCTCTGCACCTCCAGTCACCCTCGGAAGGACCTCTGCCGGTTCCTCCATCCCTCAGTCGCCAATGTCTTCATCCCAACCTGGAGGCTTGGGGCTTACTGTCCCCTCCCCACGCCCACACAGGGCCTCCCAGCTGCTCTAAGCGCTCTTCTTTCCCCACATGTAGGTGTCACCGAGAGTGACTTACACCCGGAGGAGCCCACGGCAGGTGAGCACTATCAGGAGCCATCCAGGTGTCTGCACTTGCAGGCGTTCTCTGCCTTTTCTGCTCATCATCTCCATTTGTTACCACTTCCCTCAGGAAGAGGCAATGTGCTTAGTCCGGACGATGAGCCCCAGGCCTGTCTGCAAGGAATGCTGTTGAGTGGCTGGCTGTGTGGGCAGGATGATAGGAGGAAAAACAACAGCTCGTGCTCCAGATGTGCTGTGTGACTGTGGGAAGTCTCCTGGCTTCTCTGGGCCCCGGTTTTCTCCAAGAGAGGATATCAGTAACGCCCCTGCCCACGAGGAGCAAATGAACTGTGTGTGGCAGCACTTTGCAAAGTACGAAGCTGTATTGTGTCAGGAGCGTGCCTCCGATTACCAGGCTCCAAACCGTGGGTTCGCCTTGCATGGCTGCCTCTGTTTTTGCCAGAGGCCAGATAGCTTCCATATCCCTTTGGTTTTCCTTTTGAAAAATCTCACTTTTTTTTTTTTTTATCCTTGTGATAGTTCCAGGCCAAGAGACCTCATTCCACCTACCTGATTCCTTTCCTCAAACATCCCTTTCATGAGATCATTTTGCTGTTCAGAAGCCTTTGATGGCTCCTTATTTCCCACCTTATCATGACCGCACTCCCTTGCCCGGCTTTTCAGGCCCGACCTAGTTAATTAAGCCTTGTCTGACCTCTCCTAATCTGTGGCTCACCTACCACACATGTGAGTGCCAAGCTCATTCCCATGGCTCTACCTTTGCTCCAGTGCCGTGGTTGGCAAACCGCGGCTCGCAAGCCACATGCGGCTCTTTGGCCCCTTCAGTGTGGCTCTTCCACAAAATACCACGTGCGGATGTGCACGTACAGTGCATTCTCCTCCACTCCCTGTCCTGTCCTGACCTGAGGCTGACGCAGGGAGCTTCCTGGCCACCCACCATCCGTACACATCTGTCTTCAAAGCCCAGTGCGGGAGTCCGCTCTCCCATGAGACCGTGCCGATCACATCAGCCCTTGTCCATCACCTTCTCTAAATTTGCATAATGCTTATAACTTAAATCTTATCACTTAGCAACTAGCCAGTTTGAGTTTTATTAGTTTGCTCTTTCATTTGCATTAGTTCTGTTTCCCCGAGTTTCCTTTACATTCCCTGCAAGTGGAGTCCGGGAGTTCTCTTTTGGCATCTCCTACAGCACCTGGCACAGTGCTGAGCATCAGGTCAGCTCAATCAAAGAATATTAATTGATCAAGTGTTTCCATCCTGGGATTGTGCACCTGCTGCCCGTGTGCCCTGTACTTGGATGCCTTTGGGAGACTATGTAGATAGGATCAATGAAAAGAAGACTTGGTCTCCATAGAGGGGATGCTTACAGTCTAGACTGGGGACCTGTAGGACCGTCATTGCAGGTGCAGAGAAGTAAAGCTAAAGAGTGTGGTCAGAGTCTGGGATACCCAGGCACGCTGTCATGGAGGCTGTGAGCTTTGAGGGGTGGCACTTGATGGAGGAGGGGTGAAAGGAATGCTCAGAGGCACGAGGGAGTGCATGCCACTACCCAGGGTCCTTTTTCCTTTCCTGAACCCTCCTGGTGGAAGGGCCATGTTGCCATCCTGGGAGTCTCTTTAACCTGGCGCCAGATGGGAGAACGTGGGGCTCTCACAGAAGGCCCGGGCCTGGCTATCTCTGTGCCTTTCCTCCA